CGCTTTGGCTTTTGCGTCGTCAATCCACTGCCTGTCTTTCTTTTCAGGCTCTTTCTCTGTTGTTTTTTCTTGCTCCGGGCGGCATGGCTGGAAGGCCTTTAACCGGTTACAGGCCCAGGCGTCTTGGTGGTTACCTCAGGTACCCTCCACCTAATCCTCCTCCCTGCAGTCCAAATGTTTGGGGACACCCGTTTTTTGCGCTCATTTGCCACCCCCTTGTCCGGCTCCCCCCCTCCCCGACACTCCCGCTTAGCATGCTGTATACAACATCCACTGCCGCCTCGCCCTGCCGCTACAGAGCCGAGGCGGGCGGCGTAGCGTTAAAATTACAACATACTCTAGTCGACTGTATGTTGCTGTATACGATTGCATACCGTTGTGTATTGTTGCATATTCTTGTTGATGATTGAAACTCATCTTATTGCATATTAAGGCTATAGTACACTATGGTATAGTATCTAACATGCTTTCGCTTTCTGCCTTGGCCAGCTGCTGGTCATCCCAGTCGTAGAGGATTGGAACAACGCGTCCTCCAGCGGCCTCTACATATTTGACCTCGTTTACGGGCTTGATGCTGTGCGCCTAGGGGTTTAGAGGTTGGGTCTAGGGTTATGGACTTTTTACTTTGATATACTTTGATCACACATGGAACACTGCATATGCCTACTGAAAGGCTGCCGGAGAACATAGAGAGATGCGAAGCAGCTGCCGCCACTGTTTGCATCGTCTGTCCATCCGTGCGCCCGAGCCGTTTCGCAACCATGTGCTACGGGAACTGTCAGGACTCCTGACGCCGCAAATGCACCAGATCGCAGAGACTGCCACCGCATTCCAAACTGCAGGTACAATGTATTTTGAGTGAGACATGTACCTGGTACATGTCTCACTCACAATATGACGACAGAAGAGCTCGTGCCTACAATCGGCGCATCTGCTGCGTGGCCGCTCAGAGACAGCGCGAAGGCGCACAAAGATGAAAAGCCCAGCATTTTTGCAACAATGGTGCAAGCGTGAGGTGCAAGATTCTTTGCTTCGTTCAACCTGTGAGCTGATGACTTGAAGGTCACACCATTACGCTGACTGGCCGGTGATGACCTGAACTCTCGATCTGGAAGGGCCTCCCCCGTAAGACGCTAAACTCCCTGAGCCTGCATTCCCAATTCCGAAATCTGGGATCTCGTCCTAGCATTGGCGATGTATGATCTCTGGCTCGGAGCTGCGAGAGCCAACAGCGACTCCAATGAAATGAGTTAGTTGCATCGCACACCTCGTCACACATGCGCACAGCATTTAAGTTTCGATCGGCAGACCGGTTTCCATTTATACATATGTATCGCGTGCGTCTGTCTCTATATGTGTATATATATATATATATATATATATATATATATTGAGTTATTTATTCATTTTATCAATGTACGAAAGCATAGCACTGTATACCGTGCCTACCGTGCTAAGACATGTGATGGCCCTCCAGCAAACACACATTGTCGGATGTTGTGGGCGCTATGATTGCCTTATTCTTATTGTTACAGGACTTTCCGTGTCATTGCTATTGACTGCGGCTCTCTGCTGAACACGACAGACTACTGTGCATCTTCATTTCTCTAAACTATCAACTGCTACTAAAAAATGCAGGTCCATTTGGTGCTCCATCTAGCTGCTTGTCAGTATGTGGTCTATTCATAGTTGCGCTATGCTACTATGTGCCGTTGAGGTCCCTTACATTCCGTTGCAAACGCAAGTGAATGTGTCATGTAAGTCCGTGTGCAGCGGCGCCGCACTCTCCGAGACCGGGACCCTTCACCACGCCCAGGCCAGGCTTGGCCTGGGTCGTCCGACACGATGACGCTAGCAGTAGTCGCAGTAGCAGCAGTCGTCGCATGTCGTCGTGGTCGTTGTTGCCGTCGCGGTGTTGGTAGCGTCGTCGGTGTTTATGCTGGTGGTTTGGATGTGTTGGTGGTGGTGCTGGTGGCGGTTCCGGTGGCGGGCCGATGGCGCCGGTGGTGATGGTGTGGTAGGTGGTGGTGGTCGGGAACTGCAGCCATCATAGTCACAGTACCAGGATGCGGATGCTCACACTCGTGTGTATGCTTGGAAGTGATCAACTCGGCTGTGCTTCCGGCACTGCGACTGTTGTCCTTGCACTCTTGCATGCATGATCACTAGCAAGATTCGGACAATATGTGGGTCCGTCCTTCGTCTTGTAGTGGCTAGCCACGCTCGTGCCTGGAACCAGCCTGGATACCTTCAGCCAGTGACGAAGCGACGCTAAGCGCTTCATGTCACATGGAAGCTTTCAAGGTTCACATCACGACATGCCTCGTGCAAACTCTTGAGGATGGGGAGCAGGTACGCGGCGGTCCTTGCATGGACAAGGCTGAACAACACCAACTTCCCCCTGGCATGCCCTAGGCGCTGGTCGCAGCTACCTCTGGGAATCCTGCTTGCCCGAGCCAGTGAATGCAGAGGCAAGAAAGTCGTGTCCACCTGTGCCGGCAGCAGTCGACGACTCGGCAACGCATGAACGGGAGCGACGCAGGCGGTTGCTGGCCTTTCATCAAGGGCAGGGAGCACTGCTGCACTGGTGTCAAGAAGTAGAATCCACGACGAGCCAGCGCGGCCTCCAGCAGATTGCAACTCCAGGGCGTTCAGCTTACACGAGCAAGCGGATTAGCAAGATCAGCAATGGCGGACATATCAGCTTCCCCCCATTCAGGACTCCTGTACAACTTCCGGTTTCACTTCTTCGTCGTCGGTCGTCGTCATCATCGCCGCCGTCACGACCTTCGTTCCACTCGTCATCCTCACCATCATCATCATCATCATCATCATCATCACCATGGCCACTATCCTACTCATGATGAGCATGCTTACCATCCACATCAGTGTTTTCTAGCATCTGGACACATGAAAGCGAAGCACCCGAAAGGGCGGCTTCGACTGACTTCACGAATTATCCTTATCCACATCCTAATCGTCGTCCTCATCAGCATCATCATCATCATCATCATCGCTGTCGTCGTCCTCATCGTCATCGCTATCGCCGTATCGCCAACATCGCAACCCTCATCATCATCATCATCACCATCATCACCATGATCATCACCATCATCAAGATCAAATCCATATCTGATATATTCACCATCATCATCACCATCATCATGCATCAGCAGCAGCGGAGCATCATAACCGCCACGAGCATGAACCGTGCTTCATGCCAGCATTATCACCATTCTCCATGCCATACTAGTTTTCATACCTTCGTGATGTAACCATCGCTGTCGTGAGAATTCTAGCCCTGAACTGCGGGAATATTCAACAGTTGTGCTGACACTTCCATTCATGCTGAGACTGAGAACGAGGAGGAGGCGAAGGCGGAGTCCGAGCAGGAGAGGGCGGTCACGGCTGAGGGACTCAGCCGATGGAAGTACACGCCAGTAGGACAGGGACGAGGCATACCGGGCATACCGTAATGTTCTGCAGAACATGATGCAGCTCGGACGTCCAAAGCTCGCTCGAGGTTCACGATGATGATGATGATGATCGTGATGATGGTTATGATCATGTCATGATGGTGACGAAGGTGATGACTGCTGGCTGCATAAATGTCTTGCAATCGAAAGGACGTCTGCCAATCCTTGCGGGGTCTCCTGCCTGAAGAAAAGGTGGATATCCAAACTCATTGACCGCCTCTTCAAAGGTGGAGTAGAAGGGAACCTCCAACACGTAGAGAGCCCTAGGGATCTGCTGAAAGCTTTCCGGTGCCTCGGCCCGCCTCGAGTGGGTTGCCGTCGGAGCCCATGATCGCTGGCTCGGCAGGCCGATAGGCCTTTTCGAAGCTGGCAGCCTGATCCTCAACATCATCTCCCTCTCCAGGTGCCGGAGGCTCCAGGGAAGGCAGAGGCGATGGAAGAGGCTCCGGTACCTTGTCCCGAGGCTGATTTTTTAGCCCCGGGGTCGGATGGAGCTGCTCCTCCCAGAAGACCCAAGACCTGAAGAGGCTCAAGGCTCAAGCAAAGGACCGGAAACACGTCTGCAGCCGGGGAGCTCGTCATCCTCCCTTCTTTGCTTCGGCACGTCTCTCACATCTTCATCTGCTGGCAGATCCTGGCACAGCGCCCAAGGACCCAGACCCCACTCTTCGGCTCTAGCGGCTCTAGCGGCCCACGTGGCTCCGCGCCTTGTTCAGCATGGACAGGCCCACCAAGTCCGGATCTCTCGGCTGGGGGCCACGGGTCTTCGCCGCGAGCGCCAGGCCGGCGCCTGAGGGAACAAACGGCTCTCCGAAAAGCAGAGGGTGCCGCCCTGCGTTCAGGAAGAGGTCCGTGCCTACTCCAAGCCGCAGCCAGGGCGTTCGAGTCTTTGCACTCCCGGCGATCCTGGAGCTGCTGCCTCGGATCTGTGACGACCCCCAGAGGAATCTTCCCAAAACGGATCGGTTCGGCAGACTCTCGGTGCAGCCTTGGAGCTGCTGCTTCCGCCACTGCTCCAGACCTCTGGCACCACGGGTTGTGCCGTCCAGCGGCGGCCAAGGCAACCGCGGCTCGCGGGTGAGTGCCAGAGGCTCAGGCTGGGAGCCATGGACATGGCGTCCGACAGAGAAGTTAGGACGGTCGAGCTGACGGATGGCCGGATGGCCGTGTCGTGTTGACTTGCGTCGGTTGTCGTGACCCCTCAATACGGCATTCACGCGGGACATACTATCTCCCGGCAAGAGGTGGCGGCCGCAAGGAAGGATGCACAGCTTGTGTGACAACATCATGTTTTGTATTGCCATGAAGCACACGGATCGCCGATCCATGGACCTAAAGACATTCTGACTATCTCTCCTTTTTCCGCGCGCACACCGCGACACGAACTGTGACGCCGGTTTTCGGATGTGCGTCTTGCAGCTCCAGACGCCTGGACGAGGTGGCTCTTGGAATACCTTTCTCCACAGCTCACTTCTTCCTTGCGGTCTGAGAACATTACCAGAGGGCTGCTCAGAACAAGCCGCCTCAAATTTTGCACCTCAGCTGGACTTGGTGTTCATCTTCACCGAAAATGGAGCAAATTTCTACGCGTAATGCAGGCTGCTGGCGACTGCTGTTCCAGGTGAGCCATGTACTCCGTGAGCTTCTGCAGCTGGGCCTAGATTTGTGGCTGCAGGTCAGAGCGGCCATAGAGCCCGAGAACACCTTTATTCATCTTCACGCCTCGCCCATCTGCATCAGATCATCTTCAGGCTTGGCTGAAGATGGCGACACGTTGCCCTCTGCGTCAAGGGCCTCAAGAGCCGGCAAAGCTCCGGGCTTCGGCGCAGAAAGCACCAACGAATCATTTGGAATCCTGGGACTCCCGTCATGTGGCAAAAGGCTTGACAAGCATGCTCGCACTTGAAGCCCCCAAAGATTTTTGGAAAACAACAAAGCGTATAGTTTTGCCTTAGCCTTTAAGTCGCTAAGCTGTGACTTTGCCGCGGTGCAGACATCTGAGATCCGTTTACAATGATTGCTATGCATGACCTCTGTGGTGAGGTGTTCGTACAACTGTGCCGAATGAAGCAAGACAGGGCTGGGGCTGGAACCGAAGAAAGAAGAAACGACAGCAGCTCAACAGCACCGCAACTCCGAGGCTCCCGCCCACCCTCTGCTTTCGCAGGCTGTTCGCGCCGCAACGGCATCAATGCCCAGCATGGCGGCGACGCATGACAACGACACGACCTGGTCGGAGGCTAATCCGAGGCAAGCACAGCTACGAATGTCACACCAGACTGGCACCTTGTATGCCTTACCAATCTTCTCCAAAAGTCCTTCTCGACTTCTAGAGACTACCTGCACAAAGACACAAGTCGCACACGGCGGCTGCACTGAGTCGCGAGGATGGCCTCGGCCACTAGGGGCTGCAAGCGGCTGTCCCAAGGAGGACCCGCCTCTCGAGGCGCACTAAATCGCTCGGGCCATGTTTCAACGCAAAGCACCATGCATGCAGATGTCCGACATTTGCCCCTTGCATCCACGCTCGGGAATCTTGGGATTAGGATGGCCGCCTGGAGCTGCGCGAAAGCTTCGGCATATTGCCTGTCAGCCACTTCGCTAAATCCTGTCCGCTTTCAAACCAGTGCTTCTCAAACCTCCGCCATCGCGCTGCTAGAACCTCAGCTAGGCTCACTGCACCAGCACATGCCAAACAGTGAGAACAGACGTACTACAGGCGAGCCTCTGGTAAGCGCTCTGTGACTAGTTACTTTGCGTCCAAAGTACAGAAACTATAGTCAGCTACCCGTATCCACTGCACAAATGCATGGCTGCAGAAACCAAACTTGTGTTCTGCATGATTGTGACGTGCTAGGGGAAGCTGTCGTTCTCCGACAGGTGGCCTCTGCCAGTGCTTCGCAACAGGGTGCTGCTACTTTCACCCTCTTGTCGAGATCACAGAGATCAGAGTGAATGACTGACTCCACGCAGCCAGGCCACCCGGTGTGCAGCTGCAGCTTGGGGATACTGCTGCACTGCTGCGGGTGTCCTGCAGCGGAGTTGCAATGCATGCCTACATGACGACACTGGTAAATCCATTCTAGCTCCTCTTCCAGAGGAATCGCGCTGAATCCAGCTGGCCTGCACCAACAGCATCTCTGCGACAAATCCGCTGAGGTTCAGAGGCTGGACAGCCGCTCCCACCTTCTAAAAGATACGCCAGCAAGTGCACGGCACACAGGAGGCCCTGCTGTTCCACCTGCACGGGCTTGGAGTGCCGGTGTGGGAGTTGCGCCGGTGGCATTGGGGCCTGTTCCGGTGAGGGCGCGGCAGCGCTTGGATCCAGCGATAACGGCGAGAGCTCCAGGTCCTGGCTTCAAGCACAGAAGCTCTGCTACCGGCCTGGGCTTGGAGCGCTATTTTCCGCGAAAAGATAACTATCGTGAGTCATCCACCGACCCCCCCTGCATTGTATTGGTCCTTCTCTTGTCGCAAGCATATTGCAGGCTGGTCATCGAATCTTGAATTGAATACTCGGACTATGCAGGTGAGATCCCTTTGGGTGGCTGAGATTGGGAATGAAAAGTTGCACGCCATGTGAAATATGCCGTAGCGAGCGCCTGCCTCGCATGCGGACAGGAGCTCTTCGAAGCGCCCCGCTGCCACGAGCTGCAAGACCTGGCGTGCCCACGGCTCACGGCTCGCTGTCGGCGCTGCGCCAGAACCCTTAAAGCCCACCTCCGCGGCCCTGCTCGCCCCCAAAGCGGCGATCGGCGCCTCCTGCCAGCGGAAGCCCTACAGACACGAGCAGGCGAAACTCTGCACTTCTGATTCCAGGTTGTGTGTCCCGGTTTCCGGGTCGAGCGAGATCGGTGGCCTTGGTCCTTAGTGAGCTTCCTTTGAGTTGGGCTTCCCACGGTGGCCCCGCCTCTTCTTCCTGTGATCTTCATTGATTTGTGTCTGCGTCTGTTGTTGATAGCTGGCAGTGCGGTATCGTTGGGCCATGTACAAGCTTGCGTGCCGTTGGTTCTGTCGACAGGCTTAGGGCTTCGTCTGAAGCAGAATGGCACTGTGTGCCTCGCTCATTCGGGCCGAGCGCCACGGCGCCGACCTGGCGGAAACAGAGAGCTGACATTCTCCTCTTGCTTGCATGCGTCAGGCCTCGATCCAACGGCTACTACGCACTGCTCTGAGCCGAAAGGACAGGAGATGCAGAGTGCTCCAGAGTGTCCGAAGCCAGCACTTCAGATGGAAGAGACGAAAAGACGACAACAGCAACAGTGCCAACTGAAAGCGTTTCTTTCTCGAAATCGATTTCGCTTTACATGCTTGAACAAACATGCATCGTTAACAGCACGACCCAATCGACCTGTTGGGCGGCAACTCCACCACGACCACACTTCAGTGCATTCCCGACTGCAGAGGTAACACTTGCACGGTCACTGAAGTGCTCGGTGGTAAGTTGTACGTTAGCTTGCCCAGGCGATCGCAGGTATCGCAGAGTAGTGAGTTGGGAATAATTGACTGATTGATGACCCTTCCGACTTGCAGCATCTGTTGGTGGTTTGGGGACTCAGCGGCAGCCTGCGATATTCACAGGGGTGGCTTCATTCGGAGTCCACCTAATGGGTCCACCTTGTTGGGCGGACTCTGCACATCTTGGTCTTTCTCCTCCTCCTTTTTCTGCTCCGTCTTGAGTGGGCCTTCAAGCAGCTCCGAGCTGTGAAGGCATCTCTCTACCCTAAAGAGCACAGGCCCTGGCCTGCTCGCAAAGGATCGGCCAAACTCGGCGCAGATGTCGGTGGCGGTGCCTCCGCGAAGCCGGAAGCCGCTCTGAGCCGGTCCCTCTACGAAGAACCGGAGGCTCTCGCCTTGCTGGGGACCGGGAGGGGAGGCCCAGGCGCAGGCCCGCCGGGCTCGCCAAACAAGGAACTCAGACTGCTGCGAGGAGCCGACGACGGCGCGGGCCCCTGCACTCACATTTCTCTCCTAGACTTCCGACGTGTATCAAACGAGGCACTTCCTCCGGCCTTTGCCAGAGGGCCCGGCTTGAGGAAGTCGTCATCGTCGTCGTCATCAAATATACTGTTCATTGTTCGACCACTTGGGCCTTTGGTTCCACCGAACAGGCTAGGCCGCTCGCTTGCGACATTGGAAGCCCTTTCTGCTGGGAGGCCGGGGGAGGGGTCTGGCAGACTCATGGCTGCCTGCTGTACAGGTTCCGCTCTTTCCTCTTGCACGTCCTCCTTTGGTGCAGCAAACTCCCCACGCGGCTCGCTGTCTTTCCTAGGTGCAGCCGAAGCAGGGAAGCCCGAGTCCTTTGAGGGCTCCGGCAGCGGCCCCGGACCTCCGGCAGGCTCGCCGAAGGGGTCAGACACAGCTGCGGGCCCCGGGGCCCCGAAGAGACTTGCAGATGCAGCTGCTGGCTTTGTCTTTGGCTTTGGCTCCGGCTCCCATGCAGCGTCGCTGTCAGAACCGGACGAGCCTGAGGAGATCCGTTGCCGGAGGGCAGCCAAACGACCGGCCGCTGTCGACTTCACCGAGGCTTCGGGAGCTTCAGCTGCCTTCGACACCGTCGGCTCCGCCACGTTGGCTTCGGCTGTGACAGTCTCGGCAGCTGTAGCTGCGGCCATCGGAGCTCCGGGTGTCACAGACGCCACAGGTTGACTCGCACCCGCACCTGCCTGATGGCCCGCTGCTGTCGGCTTGGCAGCTAAGAATGATGTCGCCGAGGTCTTTTCATCATCGTCATCGAAGATGGATGCCATCACACTCCTTGCACTTCCTCCGAACAAGGAAGGCCGCTCGGCTCCAGCGCCCACAGCGCCCCCAGCGCCCACAGCGCCCCCTGCCGACTCGGGGCTCTGGGCAGGCACGGCAGGCTTGGCAGGCTTCGCCGCTCGCGTCTCCGAGGAGGGAGCCTGCGACGACGGCTCGGGCGCGTCGAAGAGCGCTGCCACGGCGCTCGCTGCGGAGGGTCCCGGCCGGATCGGAGCTGGCGGAGGCTTGTTGCCAAACAGGGACGCCGTGCCCGCACCCCCCTGCGGCTCATCACCTGAGGCTTTCTGCAGCGTCGTCAGCCACTCAACAACAAAAACAAAGCTTGCAGCGAAGAGGCCGAAGAGAGAAGCCTCGGCAGCCTGAGCCGCGAAAGCACTGAAAGCAAAACTCTCCTTACCTTGGCTCCGAAGGACTCCGAGTTCGGAGCCGGTCTGGCTTTTGCGCGAGACGCACTCTGCGGAGGCATGGCGGTGGATCCCACGGCTTTGTCCGAAGATGGCTCCTGCGACATTCTGTCTCATTCTGGGCCTGGGTGCAAAGCGGTCGCCGGACTTCCTCGAACAGGCTCTCCGCGGCCGTCGGGAGCTTCGCAGGCGCCTTGCACCCAACAACTCCCAGCAAAGCAAGAACGAAAGGGTAGGAACCAGTTAGAAACCTATATTTTCCGAATTCGAACATGAGGGCCCGTCATCATAGGAAGCCTAACAAGGATCGGGGGGCTCTTGATCCAGGCTCCTAGGACTACCCCCCCATCGCATGCTCTGCTATGGCCTTTGGCGGCTCTGGCTCGGTCTCCGGCAAGGCTTTGCGAGGAGGCCTCGCAAAAGCGCAGCGAAGCTAAAGGACAGTGCGGAGCTCTGGCTCCCAACCATAAAATTTACCAGAATATACTATCATAAAGGGTCAAGGATCAAGCCCCCCAGCAGCGGGGCCGATAGCCAGGGACCCGCAGTGCCTTTAGACAAATGAGCACGCCATGAGCCGCAGCTGAACATATGCATCCAGGAGTTGGAGCTCCTCTTCAAGATGGGCCACTGCGTAGGAATCCGGAACGGTGTTAAGGGAAAAGTTCCCCCAAGTGACGTGGACTTCGCCACCGAGGACGTGAGGACTTGCGGACCGTTCACAGCAGCTGCAGCAGAAGACGCAATCAAGAGAGGGTTAAAGCACCTCTATGTCAAGCACTACAGGTTGATGTGCTTGCTTCATCCGGAGGTTGGTCGCCAAGATGGGCAGCGACTTCCTCCTCGATGGAAGGCACCGAACTGCACGTGGTGGTGGTTGGTGTTGAAAGCACTGGCTTCGTGGCCCAGGCCAACGTGCTGGGTTTTACGCAAGCTGAAAGGTAGTGGAGTGTTTTGCGCTGCTCGCCGGACGCGACTACACGCTGCTACCAGGTGAGAGCCATGTAGACACGTCCAGATGGAGGCTATGCTCTCGGGAACGCGGTTTTTCCTCGCTCCGACTGGAGGCTTCAAGGACATTGTGGAAGATGGCGTCATCAATCTCGCGCTTGTGGAGCAAGAGCTTTCTCGAAAAGTGAGCCCTGCGAAGAACAGTAAGTTCGGAGGCTTGTGACTTGTTTCTCAGTACATTGTGGAAATCATCCACTGTGCCAATATGCTTAAACGACCGCGCTACTTGGGTTGAACTGCGGAGCGACAATCGCTGCATTTCCTCGTGAATTGATGCTTTGTTTGTTGTTTGCTCGGCATGCATATTTGTATATACGCTGTCACTGTACACGGCACGCATGTCGGAGCGGGCATGGTTTATTTAAAGCAACCCTGTGGGGTTTGGTCTTGCAGTTTGCCTCCCCCGGCCCCCGGAGGAATAGGCTCAGGACTTTGAGTGCTTGGGAGCCGGTCGCTCCTGGTTCTGCTGCCCATAGTAGAACCCTTGTAGTGCTCTAGCCGATGCTATGTTCCTGAGCTTCGCTTGTTTGAGTTTTGAGCGCCGGAGATACGGCTTTTGGCTCGCGCAGCTGCCAGGTTATAGGCGCACCCCTCGGGAAGGTCTGATTTCTGCCCAGCTGACGCAAATCGGCGCTGGCGCATACAGACACCCGCGGGCTTCCAGAATTCATTTTTGCATTAGGTGCGTTCGCATCGAACCCTCAACCTCGCAAACAAAGATACTATAAACAACTACAATAAACTATAAGAAACTAAAAGAAACTATCATAAACTATCATAAACTACAATAAACTACAATAAACTACAATAAACGATAATAAACTAAAACAAGCTATAATGAACTATAATAAATAAACTAGAGTAAACGATAATATACTATAATATACTACTATAATACATTATAATCTACACTAAAATCAGGATGGGTTTTTCACCTGAGGCTCCCGCTCGCTCGCCACTGCTGCCAGTAGGCCGACGCCTTCGCAGGAACGAGGTGCCCAAAAACTTCAGAGCTGTCGCTTCGGCCGGACGACCTTTCCCCGCAGCCAGGAGGGGATCGGTGCCGGAACTCCTGATAAAAGCGAAGTCCCCAAGCAAGGATAGGGATGGCCGGGATGGAATGGGGCCTATCGGTCAATATGTAGTTGCAAGTCAGGACGGTGCCAGATTGATTCTGATTCGGACGTGAGCTGCCAAGAGGTCACAAACGACGCATGTGACAAAGTCCAGGGTGGACGTAACATGACGCAACCCTGCGGTTGGCAGCGGTCTCTTGTCTGCCTTGCGAGCGTGTCTCTCTGAAGTCTGCGCCGGCTTGTGATCACCATCGGTGTGCTCACGCATACCAGCTCTGTGCAGCAACTGGTCGAGAGAAAGCCATACGGCTACACCAGTGATAACTTGTCTAGCTCTCCGCGAGCTTGAGGTTTCTCTCGACAAAGCTAGTATCTGAGACTTGTGCCGCAGCTTCGAGCATAGTCGACCGTGCATGACTGTGTCTAACAGTCAATGCCGAGCGGCGTTTATCACAATCTTCAAACCCAAAATTCCATTGCCAGGAGCTTCGGAAGTCGACTGACAGTGTCTCACATCGAGTAGATGGAATATGTGGATGCAGATAATCCTCAAAGCCAGTCTGTTCAGAAGCCCAGACGGCAAAACCCCTCGATAATATCCAACGTTCAGTTTTCGCTACAAACTCTGTTCCTTGCCGGCGCGTTTACGTATTGGGACCTGCCAACCATGTACATTTTTTCTACACTTTCGCGACAGATTACGCCAGCGAAATGCCACCCCTCGTCGCAGCTTTAGAGCTGCAAGTCATGTGCCGAAGGCCCAAAACAGGAAAATCGGAGCAGGACTGGCACAGACCATCCAGAAACCTTGCGGCCTCTGTTCGATCTCGCTCCAGCCGCCCTTCCGCCCTCTTTCTGTACTTTGCGCAAGATAATGAACAGAAAGCCTTCATTCCCGAGGTTCCTGTGTCAAGATGCCACCGTATTACAAGAAGCCTTTGATACAGAACAATATACAACATGATATAGCAGCACATACTAGTATATAATCATGCCGACTGCGGGCACAGGAGTTCTGACTCGCACAAGTGTGGACAAAATGATTCAAAATCTCCTCGGAAGATGTCTACGGGCACTCATGGCTCGGCACCTGGGAAGGGACAGTAGGTAGAGCTATCGATGGAAGTGACCACACTTTGCCATGATGCGAAGAAGCAAAGCCTGTGCAACACGCTGTATCAGAGCGGCTTCGGTTTCCCTAGTATAGAACTGTTTGTTCCATGCTGCATCTACCATCATACGGGGCCAAATACATTCAACAGCTACTTGTCTCCAGCCCTGCCGGCGTGAGCTAAATGCTTGACCATTCGGGCTTGGTTTGTGACAAGGCCGCAGGTGCACCGCTACCACGCATCATGTTGGCTCTGCTGTCGCCTGTTCAGAACTGCCATGCATTGCCGATCTGTTAGCTGGGGCGCCAGAGTCCGGAACCGAATGCTCCTTACACTTGATGGAGCTGTCTTGCAGCCTTGCCTTCCAAGCCAGACTCACACAACCTGAGTTTGCCAGCGAGAAGGCGCCCAAGCCTACTCAGCGACAGGCAGCTTACTGCAACTCGGAACCTCTCCTGACTTTGATTTTGCGCAGCTTGGGGGCTCAAGGAGCGCTTGGTCGCACTCGAACTTGCAATCCATGCAGAACACGAAGCTTATCAAGCCGCTGAAGGATTCCTCGGTCACATAGCAGACAGAGCAAAAGCAGAAGTTCCAAAAAACGAAGCGGGCGGTCATTGTCATCGTAAAAGTACTCACAACAGTGAAAATGATGACCCGTAGTAATAGTCGTCCTCGTAGTATTGGTAGTATTGGTAGTAGTAGTAGTAGTAGTAGTAGTAGTAGTAGTAGTAGTAGTAGTAGTAGTAGTAGTAGTAGTAGGTAGTAGGTAGTAGGTAGTAGGTAGTAGGTAGTAGGTAGTAGGTAGTAGGTAGTAGTAGGTAGTAGGTAGTAGTAGGTAGTAGTAGGTAGTAGTAGGTAGTCGTACGTAGTCGTACGTAGTCGTACGTAGTCGTACGTAGTCGTACGTAGTCGTACGTAGTCGTACGTAGTCGTACGTAGTCGTACGTAGTCGTACGTAGTAGTACGTAGTCGTACGTAGTAGTACGTAGTATATGTAGTATGCAGTAGTACGCAGTAGTTCGCAGTAGTACGTAGCAGTATGTAGTAGTGCGTAGTACACAGTAGTACGTAGTTTTACGTAGTAGTACCAGTAGCAGTAGTAACAGCGGTAGTAGCAGCATTAGCAGTCGTCGTCGCAGTCGTGCTGGTAGCAGCAATTCGTCGTCGTCGTAGTCGTAGTCGTAGTCGTGGTCGTAGTAGTAGCAGCAGTAGAACAAGCAGTAGTAGTAGTAGTAGCAGCAGCAGCAGGAGTAGTAGTAGTAGTAGTAGTAGTAGTAGTAGTAGTAGTAGTAGCCGTACTGGCAACAGTAGTTGTGGCAGCCTCAGAAGCGGTAGTGGTTGTTGTTGTTGCAGTAGTCGAAATTGCAGTAGCAGCAGCAAAAGCAGTGGTGGATGCAGAGGCAAACCGTTGAGTAAGAGAAGCAACAACAAGTAGTTTCATGAATAGGAGAGTAATTGGTGTCAGCAGTCGGTCGGTGCGTCTGTCAGTGTTTGATTGTACGTACGTAATCAGACATCTACATGGCAAACGATGACATGCTGCGAGGCGTGCGAGATTCGCCGCTCGAGACTTACAGGCCATCTAACTAGGCAGTTGCCCCCCCATATGCCAGTCGGCCCAAACGGTTGCGCGTTGCAGCCACAACTGTACCCTGGGATGGATCCGAGGAGCGAAGGTGAACTCGAAGTAGTGAGCCACTTGCTCACCCTGTGCACCCGGGAGCCCATTGTAGATCCAGAGCTGCATTATCGCAATAGCCATGGAAATGCAGGTTACCTGGGTCGCGAACGAGCCAAAAAGTCGTTTCAGGGCTGTGTACCAGAATATGAAACCAAGCAGTGCCCCCTGCATGTACCCTTAGCGATTGGCTGCTGAGCTTCCACAAGATTGAACAACATGCTCTCATCCAGAAGCAGCTTGGCTTTCTTTGCCATGCTGTACAAGAACACAAAGTCCACCAGGGCCATGGTGATCTCCTGAAGTCGAACTGCCATGCAGATAAGCATGAGTATCATGATACATCGACCGTTAAGGAGGTCACATCAAAGTCACAAGCCTTCAAAGCCCAGGCATACGTAGGTTCGACATATCACCCTCCCCTGCAGTGTCATCTCACTTTGCCTTCGTCTGGGTTCCGGGTCCCTACTTTTTATGACTATGGATCCACAACAGCGCCACTCCTGTTGCGCTGCACTAGGCCTTTTCCTAGCTTCAGCCTGCAGATTTCATCTGAGCGGCATTTACATATTCAATTTCGTGTGCGATGACCTCGAAGCGCTCGAGGCTGGCAGTGATCAGCATCGCCGGCACAACTGTAGAAACAATGTTGAGGGCCATGATCAGCTTGACGAGCTTCCTGGGGAGTCCTAGCTGATGTCCTAGAGCACTCACCTCCGACATCCCGAGACATCCATGACATCCTTGGCTTATATAACCCCAACAGAAACACGGAGTGACGAGACCAGCAGCCAAAACCGGCTCAATCCTCCCTAACACCCCGAGACCTTGAACCCTAAACCCTAAAGTCTGGACCCTAAACTCTCTTAGATCCTTTACAGAACCCTCTTTAAAGGAGTCCTTAAATCCCTCAGACTGCCCCCAAAGAAGAGCCATCTTGCGGCCCAAAGGCGATCTTGAGAAAATGTCCTCAAAGTCCCGGGGGCCGCCTCCGACAATTCACTGAACTCCCCGGATTGCGGCTCATGAAACTATACATGACTTACTATGGTTATATAGGATTGAGGGTCAAGGGTAGAATATATTCAAATCTACGAGTACAATAGCTGAATAGCTGCGTAAAGGGGCTCGAAAGTTTACGTTGTGGGACTGCAACATCCACACGGGGCTCGAGCTCCAACTCGTGCTACCGCTGTGTGTTGCAGGGCGCGTTCTCGTCAGTCAAGACACTGACCGTCAAGACCACTGTCCGCTGGAGGCGACGAAAGCAGTCGGTGAAATGTTTGGGAAAACGAGGGAAGCAGGGAGGCATCTCGCCGTATCTGCACAGCCTGCCCCAGGCAGTCGGCGTGTGGCCCGTCTTCGTCAGGCTACGACATCCAGAACGAGCCATCGTGTTGCTTACTCCGCAGTCCGCAAACCTTCGTCAACACTCTGACTGGCATTGAAATCCCGCCCAGCTGCTCTACACGGTGAGTGGCATTGCTGCGTTTGACAGCTCACCGCTCGCGAAAATCGATAGCTGTCAAGGGTCAAGGCCGAGGAGGGGAAACCCATGGTAGATATTACGATGTATTGAAAAGTATAGTACTATTGTACAATGATTTCTATGGTATACGAAGAAGGCTTGGACGAATGCATGGCTGGACAAGGTAAACTTCGTTCCCGTGTATGTGAAAAATGTCTTGCAGCAACGGTTTGCGCTGCTTCGTAGTCTTGCTCAGCATGTTTGTGGGTACATGCGCAATCCGTGTTTTTCATCATTCGAACCATCTTGTGGGACGTAGCTTTGTAGTTGGCCTCCCTGTCCCTGGAGATAAAGGCTCAGGGCCTTTGAGCCACTCCTATATAGCACTCCTAACTGCAAGGCAACCCAATGCCTGAAATGCAGGGTTTCCTTGTCAAGTCCGGTATGCATTTCTGCAACCTTGCATGTGTTGGTCGAGGCACGAACCAACCCTCTGATACCTTAGGAGAATATTACCACTATCATCAAGTGGTCAGACCCAAATGGGAAGCATCCCTGCGCAGTATTGTTCCAGCGAGCTCGCCTACAAGGGCATAAACCTGGATGAGGGCGAAGCAAAACGTCGCCCAGAACTCAGTCAAGTGGAAGAACTGTTCGTGCTCTTCTCCTCAAGTGATGAACCGTTGAGAAGAACTGGCTTTGGAAGCATGGTTTGCCTTGCTTTTTCGACTGCCCTCCCCTGATCAGCAAGCGAAACAGCAAATCGCGAAAAGTAAGGGCCGGTCGGTACTGAAGATCCATGGAATTCAATATTGTGGTGCAGATGTTGATACCGACATATACCAAGCTGCAAATAGCCAGCTGCCTCCGCTCGGCAATGTTCCAGCAACTCATCAGGTTCTTTCTCAAGCGGGGGGCTCTACTCCTTCTGGGTCGAAGGGTTTCTTTATCAAGTGCACATCTCCGATTTTCAAGCTGAAACATGCATGATTTAACAGCATCGGCCAGGCAAATGTATCGAAGTAGTTCGTTGCAGAGCTCTGGGCATGTCCGTGCTTGGACTGGCCAAACCAAGCTGCAGATTTGTCCTTGACATCGAACGTAACCGGTGTAGCATCTCCGTCATCATGACTTCCTCCATCCTGGCAAGTGCGAGCGTGCTCCTTTCTCTCAGCCAGGCTAAGACATGATCAAAACGCAGGGTAGAAGCTGTCCTGGAGGTTCGAGCCATGTTCCAGTTGAGGCTGTTGATCTTGTCTGTATGCCTGTCTAATCAGTCTAATCTTGTCCGCTCCACGACGGAGAGATGTCCACACACCAGGGCACATGCTACAAGTTCAGCCACGACACGCTTGGTATGCTGTGATTGGCTCATCATTCTCAGCGAGAGGAGTGTTCATGGCCATCGCTCACGGGAAGCGACCGTCCGCAAACGCACGTTTGCATATGCTGGGGTTGAGTGCTCTTTGCTCGTCTTTCGGACGCAAAGCAAGGCTTGTACTTGAGACATGTTAAAGCTGGGATGCATGAAGCTGGGATGCAGCTGCCGGAGCCCAGGATTCGGAGGAGCGGAGCTTTTGGTGAAATCTCTGCTACTGGTACCAGGATGCACCAGGTAATGCAATGTAGGATCCGGCGCTCCTGATTGCAGAGGTATCTGAATCATCAAAGAGGAGGGAAGCAGCTTTCGGCTTCTTCGGTGCGGTCATCCTGAGGCATGTTGATTATGTTGATGCAGATGATGCAGGCCCATGCTGCGTCAGTTAATCCCTGCCAAGCTCTCGGCGAAGCGGGCAGTGGCGCATCGTCAAAGATGCCCGCGCCCGGCTTCGGCGGGGCCGAGCTCGGGCCCAGAGGTCCCAGAGCACCAGCTCGGGAAGTTGCTTTCGGTGCGACCTGCAAAGAGGACGTGTGAGAGAGCAAGCTTCGAGGTTCGAGGCCGACCCTCCACGCCGGGTATCACAAAACAGCGCGGGAGCGGGGCAGCATCGGCCAATGCCATGTGGACATGACCTAAGCTTGGGCCTCGTCATCGAAGAGCGGATCGTGAGCACGTGGTACCGGTGGTGCCTGGCATGGTGCTTGGTGACCGAACTAGGCACGTACCCGGCGTAGGATCATCCGACGCCGCCTTCGTGACCACTCTGCTCGCCTTCAAAGCCGAGGAACAGTGGAGCTACCCCGCGGCTCCAATCATGCTGAGGAGATCGCAGGCACCGGTAGAGGAACATCATCATCGAACAGTGATGCCGCGCTTTTGGGGACAGGCGCCTCTGCGGGCCAAGGCAATCTCTGCCCCTTCCCCAGCACGACGGGTGGCCTGGGTGGCCTTTGCCTTTGCCGCCGATGCCGATGGCTCTGCGACCTCAAATCCGGGGCACATGCAGATCACCTGAACGTGTGCTTCTCCAGCTTCCGAGGGTTTCACTTTGGCAGGCACGGGCTGCTCGGAAAACGGCGATGGCCCTGAGGCTTTCTTCGGGGAGGCCATCACCTGCGCACAGGCAGCGGGTTGCCATGCACGGCACGCATACACTTTTTACTGAGCATCTTCAGTGCCGTTTGCGACTGGTACTCAGCTCATGTTGATCGGCCGACAGGAAACCTGCAATTTGCGGAATTGTCCAATTTTGTGCAGTGCAACCTATCTTTTCTGCGCCACACTTGCAGTACTGACGCATTGTACTTTATTGGGAACCTTGGTACACATCCCGACATTAGGTTCAAGCAGTATATGCGGAGCACCTTCGTCTTTGCTGCTGGACGTTTTGCAGGTTCATCGTCATCGAAAAGCGACGCCATGCCACTTTTCAATGTGAGAGGCGCCTGCAATCGACAAGTTCATGTCTTGGCCCTTCTTCAAACAAGAGTGCGCCTTCGGCTGCGAAGCACTGGAGGCGGGCTCGTCATCGAAGAGAGAGGACGCTCCAGCTTTCAAGGTCAATGGAGCCTGACGGTCCCAAAACTACCCGTTCGCCACAAGGTCGCGACAAGGAGTTATCCGCCGAGGCTGCAGGCCCAGGCGTATTGGGGCTTAACTCAGGTACCCTCCACCTAATCTTCCTTCCTGCTCCGCTTTTTGCGTTCATTTCCCACCCCCCCGCCCGGCACCCCTTTATTTTACCCGCTTTTCAGCCCTCCCCCCCTTGTCCCGCTGTTGTTTGGGCTGTTTTTGGTGCGCCGCCCCTTACCGAAAACAGAGTCCCAGGTCCACCTCCCTTGCACGACACTGTACGAGCTTGGCATGGCGAGGATAGAGTATCCAGCATGGCCGCAGCATTTCGCGAAACTGTCCTTACCGCCGAAGGGCTTTCTGAATCTTCAAACGTTGGATCCCCTTCACAGCTCTGCTACAAACTGCACAGAGTCACACTGCACACTCTTGCAGTTGCCGCATGCTGCACGAAACCCTACACAATCCAAAAGCTGGTAGGAAATTCCAGGCATTGCAAAGGCCCTAAAGTCTCCCAAACGTGCAAAGGCAGGAGTCGGTGAGTCGGGGTTCACAGCTCATTGCAATGCCGTCAGCGGAGAACAATCTCCCACCGGCGAAGGAAGTTAAAGGCACCATCAGCGCAAGTTGAAGCTTTGGGATCGACGTCTGAGGGAATCCGCTGGTCTGTCACTGCAGCTTGAGGTAAACGAAAAAGCTGGTGCCTTCGCTGGTGATGGTGCATCATCGTCAAACAGCGACGACACTCCGCTTTTCGCAGGCGATGCCTTCGGCAATCGGCAATCTGAAGAGTTCGTTCTTGCCCAGCTCCGTTGAGGGCCTTCTGTGCTGGTGGGAGAGCAGGCTCATCGTCAAAGAGCGAGGCCATCGGCGGCTTCAACGAAAGCGCCTCCCAACGGCAGATGCACTTCATCCAGGCGACAGACGGTCTTCGAATTGCTGGTTTTGCAGTCCTTCGGATCCGCAGCTTTCGCCGGGGCGGCAACCTCCGCTCTGCTGGTGCCCGGTGGATCACAAAACACCAGTGGCAAGCTCAGGGCTCAGATTGCGGCCGGTGCAGGCATCTCCGGCTCGTCAAAAAGCGAGGATGTTCCACTCTTCGCGGGGGATGTCTGGGCCGCCTTGGCTCAAGGCAACTGTCAATGGCCAGACTCCTAGCATTCAGCTCGAGCTTTGCACCTGTGAGCTTGGCACAGGTAAGCTGCCGCTGTCGTCGAAAAGGCTGTCGGTAGGCCTTGGAAACGAAGCACCGAAGCGCACTCCACGTCCGATCCAACCTCTGCGGACCTCGAAGATGGTTTCCCACCAGGCTTGCCTTTGCCTTTGCCCTTGCCTTTCGCCTGCCGGGACAAGGTGCAGACCCTGACAGCCTGATTGTTGCTATGAAGCCTTGGGAACAGGAACTGGAAGGGGTGGACCGCCGGCAACGGCCGGTCCACCAGCATCCTCTCCCTGACGCACGAGTCGTCGATGCAACGACACTAAACGCGCTCTCAATGCTTGATGTTGCGCAACACAGGATCTATGAGAAGAACGCTAGGCTTAATCAAATCCGCCGAGGCCAAAGGCTCAGGCTAGTAGTGGTAGTGGTAGCAGTAGTAGCAATAGTAGCAGTAGTAGCAGTAGCAGTAGAAGTAGCAGAAGCAGCAGCAGCAGTAGCAGTAGCAGTAGCAGTAGCAGTAGCAGTAGCAGTAGCAGTAGCAGCAGCGGCAGCAGCAGCAGCAGCAGCGGCAGCAGCAGCAGCAGCGGCAGCAGCAGCAGCACCAGCAGCAGCAATAGCAGTAGTAGTAGTTTTACCACGAATAACAAACGGATGGATCCATCTTCGAAGCAACTTTTGTCCACATTCTAGGCATCTTCGGGCTCTCTTTGGCCCAGCTCAGGCTTCGGATGAAATCGATGCAGCGGTTGCACCTTCCACGGCAGAAAACTGCACTCGCGCCGCACTTCTTGCTCTCTTGCGTGCGTCTGTGCCAGAAAAAGACACTTTCGAGAGCTTTGTCGCGTGCCTGACACCTGGGCCCAAAGGGGCACAGGTCCAGCAATGGCTTTGCATCCGAAGCTGCTCCGCGGCGGCGATCGTGGCCGTTGTCGATGGCCTTGCCTAAGTCTGAGCTGAGTCCAAGTCTCATAGCTTTCTTAAGCGTCTTCACAAAGGTCCCTAACGTCCTCTCGTTGTTGGCCAAGGCACGGCACAAGCTTTGGAAGGGCTCACGTTGCCTCTCAGCGGATGCCTCCGACGCTGTGTGAGACAGCGGCTGCTATTCCGCACAGGTCCCGGTCCCCAATGCCGCGGTTCCCTTGACTGGCACAGCTTCTTCTCTCGCCTCCCTCTTCTTATCCTCTTCTGCTTGGTTGGACGGGAGGGAGGCATGCCTATGTAGGCAGCTAGTCACTCAGCCTCGGCGTGTGAATCTGATCCAGGACGCCCCCGGAATCTCCAAGGAATCGTACACGCAGGTTGGGAAACCTGATAGGATCTCAGACTGCTCAAAGCTCTGCAAGAGATGATGCGCGACATCTGCGGCAACATGCCAGGGGCTTCAAAACTCAGGATGTACGCGTTTATGCCGCATTTATGCCGGTGCAATAATCTTCATGCTCCAAGAGCGTGCCTCGACCTCCACTTCGTCGCGCCCAGATCCCAGCTTCAAGCGACAGACCTCCAAGCCCGATCCGAACCTCAAAACGAGCGCGGACTATCGGAACCTTTGGGGTCCTGGGCAGCCGAGCTCCAGGCGGTCTCTCTTTGCCCTGCGTGTCGTGCCAGTCGCAGACCCGTTGGAGCAGGGCTCGCCAGAGCGTGTAAGCCGTGTAGGCATCGATCGTCGCCCCTCTCCATTTTTCATTTCGGGATGCGGGGGAGCAGTGTCGGGACTTTGACAGCCAGGCCTTCGCTGCTTCCATCGAAATCTCCGTGATCCATATCTGGATCGTGACTCCACACGAGATCCTTGCAGGCAAGGATCCTCACCTAGTCGCTCGTCCTAAGCCTCTTCGGCACTTCGGCTCGGCCAAAGTTCGCTGGGAGATCCGAAGCTCTTGGTGTAAAGCAGCCCGCGCTCGCTGTACATCCCCCAGTGCATCGCCACGTGCGCAACGGCCGGCATGGCAAATCCACGCCTTGGCGAATCTTTCCATGACCTCTTCCTAGCTTTCGCCTGTGATAGCCCATTGCCTATTTGCAGTACTATTATTTTAATGCTTGCTATCGTTCTTTTCATAAGTACTATCAGCACGATTACTGTTGTTATTATCATTGTATTTATTTTGGTCATTATTATCAATATGACCATTACTACCATTAGTACCCATATAAACGTTGTTTTTCACTATTGTCATCATTGTCCTTATGATTCGGTTTCTCCCTATTGCATCTTATTGCCCTTGTCACTCTTATTATCATTTCTTGTTATTGCTATTGGTTGCACTAATTCTGCTGTGCATCTGAGGAGCAGCGGCTCTATCCTGGCCACCTCGCTCCACCATCGGGAAGCACATCGCAGCTGCCTCATCTCGAAGCGCTGGTGCTCGGTTGCCTTACTCAGCATCAGAAGCCACAGCAGCAGAGTCTGTGTCTCTACATTGTTGAACTGTCTTGACATTGAGGCGTGCACACAGCATGAAGCCGCAATCAACTGTCGGAGCTTTGGGTGCTCAAACGTCACCATCGGCCCCATCAACGAGTGCTCGTGCTGAAGTAATCCTGTCTGAAAGCCTTTTTCGCATTGTCTTACACTTTTCTACGGGGGTGCGAAGAATACGCTGGTAAGTCTCGATAGAGCATGCACAGCGGCTGTCTTGCACTCGTCGGGCCGAATTGCTCAAGCTTGAGCAGCGAACCGCGCAACAGTGTTTGCTTGAAGTCTAAGTCCTCTGCTCACTTCTCTGGCAGCCTCGCCTCGAGCGGACCACCTCTGCGCGCGAAGAGTGCGTTCAGGGAAGACACCAAGTCAGGCGCCTGCCGGGATCCAGGCTGTGCACAACTGCCCCCCTCCCCCCCCGCAAGCTTGAATGATTTTGATGCAGAGTCTGTCACGAAAGCGGGGCCTCCTCCGCAACCGGTTTCGGAGACGCGTCGTCACGGTGCGAGCTCTCCAGCTCCTCCGGACAGGTGGCACACTTTGCTGCGCTCTGCGAGCACTCAACAACCAAAAGAAGCGCCCGAGGCGGCAGTCAGAGTCAGGTGCACGCCTCGTGCTCCGCCAGCTCGGCGTGCTCGTCGCCGTGCTCGTCCACCTGCTCCTGGGCAGCCTCGGCCTGGGGCTGAGCCTCCTCGAAACGCGGAGGACTCGGAGGCTCTTCAGCCAGGAAGTCCTGCCATGAACGCTGGACACAGTGCTTTTTCAACTCACTACAGAGCTGGAATGAGCTTTGACCGACGTGGACGGGTCCGCCACGGACTGCGGAGCATCCCAGGTGGTATGCCAAGCCTGACGTCATGAGATCACTGATCATGCACGAAGAATCCTAAACACGATGTTTTTGCCAGACTCGAAACTTCCATGCACCGTCTGCCAAACACCCGGCTCAATCCGCCAGAGCCCTTACCAAATCTTGATGCGGGAGCACGCCTCGCTTCCAACCACCACGGGAAGGGCCGGCCAGTCCTCGTCTACCTGATTTCTCTCCGTCCAAACCCAAACACAGGCGAAGGCCATGAAGACCAAGACCTTGCCATGCCTTGCCTTCATGTGGACGAAGTCCTGACCCAGGCTGAAGGCTTGCCGGATTGCCTCGATCTCAGCCTGAAGGCGCAAAAAGGAGACGAGGCCCGGAGCCCGGCCTCACGGCCTCCCTGCCTCCGGGGCGGTCTCCACGTCTAAGTTCGACCAGATGTCCTTCGGATTGAGGTCCACAGATTGGGCTTTTTGTTAAGGTGTCATCTCGCAGCGCCCATGCTGTGCTCCTCCACAGCATCTGCAGAGGCCTGGCGGCGACATGCCGCGACAACACTGCCACTGGGACACGGGACACTGGGAGTCCGAGGCGGGCCCTGACCTCCAGAACGGTGTCCTCCTCTGTCTCCACTCTGTGCTCCAGGAACTGGCTCTGCGCCTTCGACAAACTTGAACTGGATCAACGGAATACCCAGGCAGCTGCGCAGCTGCAGCTCCGAGAGCAGCGCCAGGACTTCCAGGCTGCAGGAGGCCATTCGCAGCTTCAGGCCCACAGCCTGACTAAAGGGGTTTATGGCACCTCTGCTCTCTGAGTTGCGGCGCTGGCATTGGTTTCTGACGACGAGTCGAGACTCTCCACCTCGCCTCCGCGCGCCGGGCCGTCTTTTGCAGCCTCTCCTCCGTGATCTCGGCTCGCCTGGTGAAAGAAGGACCCTCCCTCCATCAAGTTATTTGGACCTACCTCTCCGTCTGCCTTTCTCTGTCTGTCTACCTATCAAACTATTTTGCTTGCACGCAGCCAAGGGGTCGGTCTCCCTCCCCCGCCCACACTATCTATCTATCTATCTATCTATCTATCCCTCTCTCTCTCTTCTTGCAAGATGAAAGCTCGAGCCTCCCCCCTCCGCTCGCAAGCGAAATCTCTCTCTCTCTCTCTCTTGCTTGCTTGCTTGCACAGCATGTGAACCACGAGTGAAACCCGTACCCCTGCGCTCTCGCGCTACGCTATTGTCTTAGGTCTGTGTCGGCTTGAAACTGAGCGTGGGTTGCCCAGACCAGCTTGTCCCTTATATGACTGAGGCCTTCTTATGGCCTGTGCATGCCCCACCCAGTCTACGACGCTGGTCTCGGGTCCCACTCGTTGTGTGTTGTAGTTCCGGCTTTGCTGTTATCATCGGGATCCCATCCCGCAGCAGAAAGGATGTAAGTAAACAGGTAGTTTGGCCTTAGTGTACTGGGGGACCTGTCCTTGGCTCCTGCACCCTTCTGTCCCTTCACAGCTACCGAGAGTAGTGGCCAAGAAGCATTATTCCCCAAAGTAGCTGTTAAGCTATCCAGTCGGGGCAGGATGGGTGCTGACTTTCAGTCTTCCGGCTCCGTGTGTGCTGCCGGCTTGCTCCTTTACTACTTGAGGGTTTGTGGATGTTTGCATGTGGAGGTCAGTCCTGGCTCTCTCTTTCTTGCCCCAGGCTTGAGGGTTTGTGTTTCTCTTCTTTTCTTTCTGCTGGGCTTATAGGGGTCACGTCGTGACCCTCAAGTCATCGGCCCGCCCAACCACACCATGTTTTTTGATGGAGTGGCCGGCTTTGGGGTTCTGCTGACTACGGTACTGAGCTGCATGGTATGCTCCAGCCCTCTGAATTGCAACTCTCTCTCTTGCCGTATAACCTCATGCACCATACGAAATGATATACCATCATATACTATCGCGTACTGTCACAGAGTGTTATATGTCATCATTCATCATACAAACAAGTACATGTGAACCCCCCAAACCTGTTCAATTCTATACGCACCTTGGAACCGAGGACAAACCGACATTGCTTGGGAGTCCGAGTCAGAGCTAAAACCGAGGCCTGAGGATCCCGTCTCTGAGGGATTGCAACGCCCGCAGCAGAAGCTCGTCCTGATGGCATGGCACGGTGGGTTCAGGGCTGCAGGAGCAGGGTTTTCAGGGTTTCGGGTTTTCAGTTTCCGTAAAGGTTCAGCATAGCTCCTGCACCGCATCCCAACTCGACACCTGGCCATGTAGCTGCTGCAGCCTGGACTGCTGCACAGCACTGCTCTACCTCTGTCACAAGTCCAGTGCATGTGGGCACCCGATCTCAGGCCGCCACACTGCAGCGGGGTCACCGGCCATCAACACGGAAGTCGTGTTTTCGGAAGCTCTGGGCTGTCAGGGCATTCTGCCAACTGAAAAACAGAAATCAACTAGCTGGTGAGTGGTCAACATGCGGCGACATAGCCACGGTTTCCTTGTCATCAACTTTGCACGACACAACACAGGCTCCTGTAATGATGGCGTCACGCATGAAGGGTACAACATGTTGAAGCTAAGATCGCTACGAAAAGCTGCAAGCCACCGCAGCATTATAGCGGGTGCAGACAAAACAGAAGTTGGAGCATCTTGTGTAGATCGCAGGCCCCGAACCCTTCACTGCCGCCAGAAAACTCCGCCATGAACAGCCCGAAACCAAGCCAAGACGTGTTGAAGCTGCGCTGGCTGAAGTTTCCCAGGCTACCAGCTTGGCACGTCTAGTTACCGGTCAGTCAACCCTTGTGACCTTTTTCCACGGGGGACTTGGGCCAAGTGCGGTCGCGTAAAGACATAGCTAAGGACCATAGGAATAGCAATGGAGGCAGGGTAAAATCTACACCCCCCTCGCCGTGCTGCTCGAGCTAAGGCGGATAGTACATGGCTCCAGGTTGCCCTGGGCTTCAACGGATTTGGGAATTTGCCAAAGCGAGCATTTATAAAGCACAACGGGGAAGCCCTGCAGGTCCGAAGCAAATCAGAATGAGGACTCAGCGCCTATGGGTGCGGTTCCATGCATCCCACTCGGCCTGAGTGTAACCTCCACGACGCTGGCGATAGTACTCGTCCCACTGGGCCTGAGTATAGCCTCTGTACATGGGCTCAGGTGCTGTCGTGCGACCACGTCCCTTTTGGGATGGGCGATTCTGGACTGCAGCCTGGCGATTGCGCTCTGCCAGACGTTCCGTTTGGTCTGTCTGGTCCTGAGCACTACGGAGGCTGTCGGTAAGAATCTGTCCGATCTCAGTTGTGATGCCTTCAATTGTGGTAGCCGACACATAGACTTCGCCGTCGAAAGTCAGGATCCTTTTTGCAGCGTCATTCACTGCTGCCACCTCAGCATAGAGTCGCGGAGGGAGGAATGCACCGAGGTAGGTCAAGCCGATGGGGACATCCGCGGTATCATCGATAAACCGCAAGTTCCTCAACGGCTCCACTTCGCAGTGGGCATAATAGACCAGCTTCGCAGGCGGGACATTGCCACCACCATAATGGGAGCCAGCACGCAAGTAGCGCTGCTCCTCACTGCGTCCTGGATCGGGAAGCACAGCGTTCGACAGGTGATCGAATTTCTGCATGTCCTCAAGGCTGCGGCCCTCTTGCATCATTCTCACGTTGAACTGCGCGTCCTTCTCGAAGCGGTCGGACACGGTGTCAAAGTTCAACTTGGCGGCCCTGATCTTTCGGTCTTTGGCGTCACGAATGGCGGCGGCCTCCGCGCTCATCTGACCACGTTTCTTTGGTCCCTCGCCCAGGCCTCGAAGGTCACTCGCAAGGAGATCATCGATGGGCTTCTGGGCTCCAGTCGCAGCGGTGGCAAGAAGGCGCTGGCGGAGTCTCGAATTCTCAAAGACTCGCTTTGTGATTTTCTTGGAGTCATCCGTCTGGGGAGCCTTGCAACGGAGGCAGAACAGCATGCCATTGGCAACGACTGCTGCGCACTCGCGGCATGGGTGAGAGCCAAGTGGGTACGGCTCATCCTCACCCGCATCCGTTGTATCGCCTTCATCGACTTCGACCTCAACCTCAACCTTGGTTTCGTCAAGATCGAATGCACCAGCAGCATCAGCAGGCTCACCCTCGCGGGTGGCTTCATCCAAGTCCATGCTTTCGTCCTTTTCGGCGATTGCGGCGGGCTTGGGAACCACCTTCGGCATCTTCTTTGAAGCAATCGCTTTGGGAGCGATAGCCGCCTGTTTTGGGGGCGGTGCCGATGATGAGCTTGCTGCTGCGGCCTCCTCATAGTCGCGCTTTGCGCGGAAAATGCGCTCTGGCTCACCCTCGCGGGCGGCTTCTTTGTGCTCGGCGACGTAGAGCGGGAGGTTCTTTTTGCTGGTGTCGATGGCGGACAGCACGCAATCGGGAGGCACATTGTCCCGTGTGAGGACGCCGTCGGTCTCCGTGACGAAGAAAACGCATCCAGCGGCGATTGCTCGCTGCGTGTCTATCGTCAGCTCGATCGGCTGGTTGGAGCGCATTCCACTCTTGTAGTGGGTGTCGTCCAACTTGTACGGGGACAGGTAGTTGTGGGACCTGTCTGACCTCGCGGAGCCGGCGATCATTCCATCGCGGAGGATACCCTTCATTCCCTTTTCGTTCGTGCGGTGGAAGAGCTTTGGGGGGGTATCCTCGCGGGAGAGCACAGTGACCCCCCTGACGCTGCTCTGCAGGTCGGCCTCGTACTCGGGCAATCCGCTGTAGAACCTGGTCGCAAGGAAGAAGTCCGCGTCCGGGTTATTGCCGATGAGCTTGGAGTTATGCCCTTGGGCCATCCTCACTCTGACAGGGAATAGCGGTTGACCCAGGGTGTCCTTCATTGGGACGTCAATGCCCAAAAGTCTGATCCGTCCCTTATTATCGGCTTTCGCTGCGCGTAGCAGCTGCCTCACACCCCAGCGTGCGCCTCGTGCCGTGTTGAAGACCTGGAGCAGAGTGTCGACGTCTGTCCAGCACCCACGGTCAAAGATCAATGCAGGGAAGTCGTCCATTTCATGGCCACGCAGCAGCTTGGTGAGAAACTTCAGGTCTCCGTGTTTGAATGTCACGTGCCTGTCTCCTACAATGTCCTCCGGGTTGAAGGGCTTCATCAAGTGCTTCTTGCCATTGTAGAAGTACTCATTTGGAAGCTCTGGCACAGTGGCAGCCCCTTGCGGGGCGCTTTCATCGATGAACATGAGCCTTCGCATGGCATCCTCGTCTCGATCAGACTTCTTAGTCTTCTTCGGAGGCGCTGGCTCAACGACACGTCCAATCGATGAGGGGATAGGGTCGACCTGGTCGCCCTCGTCCACCAGCTCCACCGTGCCCGGGGTGTTGTAGGACACCTTGCCGTCTGCGTCCTGGGTGACGATGTCATTGACGCATTCCGCCACAGCACTGACGTCCGTGGTTGCACCGATCCTTGGCACATCCTTGCGGATGGCTTTATCCATGGGTGGCCCCTCGGAGATCTTATTGACGTCGATTGCGTCAGCGGCATCTGGGGCTTCCCACATCTTGTCCTCCTGGGTGACCGGCATTGGCTTGGCCTGTTTCGGGTTCATCAGCTGGTCCTTCTCTGTACGCCACTGCTTGAAGACATCATCGAGCACTGGATTGTTGGCATCGGAGCCAGTCTCAAAGTGCTCATAGCGAACAAGCAAAGCCCTGACACAGGGTGCCATCTTCTGGGCAAGCCATTCGCTCCTGCTTGCATTGATAGTCGCATGCAAGTAGGTCTGGAATAACTCGCGGTTGCGAGGGTCTTCGCTGGCGTGAAAGCTGTCATACATTTCCAGCTTTTCGACCAAGGAGCTTGCGGTTTGCACTTGCAGACCGCGCTGCCTGAACTCTTCGAACATAGCGGCATTGAAGTCGTTGTAGGCTGAGTGGAGTTGGAACAAGTCCGCCTCCACCTGCCCAATCACCTTCACAAAACCAATGTCCGGCTCGCCCGCGAGGGCGGCTAAAACATCCGCTGCCCTTCTCACTTTCCGTGCGACGGTCTCCGTTGTGACATTGGGATCTCTGTAGGCGAGTCCCGGTCCTAGCCGCGTGGGGATGCAGCCCCACTGGCCGGAGATCTCGTTCCCGCACCACCAGCAGATTATGTCGATGGTGTGGTCCGGATAGTTGCTCCTGAGCTCCTTCACATGCTCCTCGACCTGCCAGACAATCCACGCCAAGGTTTTACCCCAACACATGGTATAGCGAGTCTGTGCCCATCCCAGCGTAAAGCTTGCGATGTTCACTTCCGCATCCAAGTCGGCCTTAACGAACACTCCCCGCCTGTTCTTCTTGCAAAGTGCAGTGGAGCTGTCTGACACGACTATGATGGCTCGCTTGGCCTTGGGGCTCAACCTTGCGGTTGGCTTCAACTTGGCGAGTCCCTCGTCACTGAGGTCAGCCATCTGGCGCAGAGCCACACAGGTTGCGTCGGCATGGGTCAAGGATACCCCAGCCGCGCATTGTGTGGATACGCAGCTGTACGCCGACTCCAAGAGCTGGCTCTCATGATCGGCGCCGAGCGAAATGATATCGTTGTTGAGGGCGGCGGATTGGAGAATGGTTTTCATGGCCTTGGTAACCCCATTCCTGTCTGCTTCGGAGGTGTTGACCCTGCAGAACTCGTCGCTCACAACGATGGCTGCCATCTTGGGGATCGTAGAAGTCGCTTCGGGCAAGTCGAGAAGATCAGAACCAGCTGAAATTGCAATGGCAGGCGTGCACATAAAGAAAGCCAAGATTTCATGGTCAAGGCTTGCAGTTTGTTGTGTGTTTGTGCACTCGAGCGATGTGTGTGCAAACGAATCATTTTCGAAACGAGAACACGGTTTGTTAAGCCTACCCCCCTCATCGAGAGGGGAACCAACACACCTCAAACAAACCATTGCCTTCTGAGCTGGGAGCTTCAACTGAGCCGTAGGCAAGAGGAACTGCGCTTGATGTAGGAATTGCTTTTGCTTTTTGTTGAACTTCTGGTACCCCCCTGAAGAGTAGGCGATGAAGGAATGTCGTTCGCCAGTGTAGGGTTGTACACCATGTTTTGTCGATGGATGCAACAGAGTGGGCTTGCGGTATGTGTTGCAATTGTAGCCTTTGTGGTCTTTGCCATGATCATCTGTGTATATTCCCGGTGGTCCCAACTGGCTCGCGCCCTCAATCCACAGTGTCCCCCCTGTATAGTTACCGAAGGAGAACGTCAGGTTGTACGATTCTTTCTGATTGTACTTATCCGTGTGGATGCGGGCCTTGCCATTGAAGTTGAACACGAACGAAGTCCATGTAAACCCTTTCGGAGATGATTGCTTAACAAATCCATTCACATACCTGCAAATCCATGGATAATGTTTTGTGCGGTTGGTAATACCAAAGCACCCACCATGGACCCAAGCGCCGAACACCAAGTATTTGGATAGATTCTCAGAAGCCATAAATGACCGCGTTTTTGCCAATGATGCCTTGAGATTGGTACGAATAAGCCCAGCTAGCTTTTCGAAGGTCTTGAAGCTGTAATCGTTAGCCTCGAACGATTGTTGAGCGAAGTCCTCGACAACCTTTGATGCATCCGGAGCTGCTGCTACCGAAACCTTGTTGTCAACCTCGACCTTCGACTCGGGTTTGCACCCGGCTACGTTCGCGCTGGTTGTATGTCCAATAAGCTTCAAGGCATGCGTCCACTTGTTCTTTTCAGTGAAAGGCTTCGTGAACACATCCGCCACTTGTTCGGCTGTACCAACATTCAGTAACTTGAAATGCCCGACCTCATATTGCTGCTTTAGCCATGAGAAACTCACCCTCTGTGTCCGATCAGTATGTCGTAGAACACCAGCTTGCCCTAGCAACAAAAGAGTGATTGTCGCCTGGTTATCCTCCATATGTCTAACCTCGAAACTTTCAGGAAGCTGGACACAGAGGCCGTTGATGTCTGCGATTGACAACCCATCCGGTCTAGTGGACCCGTAACGAATTTCGTCAAGTTCAGGGTCAATGCGTGCAACTATCGAATCCACCCTCTCAGCCCTTGGCTCGGCCTTGCGGCCGGCATCTCCACGCCATAGGAAATACCATAAGCTCAGGCAAGGTAGACCTTCGGCACGTAAACCGTGATTCGCTGCTACAACTTCGGACTCAGTAGAGCTCATTGTAATAGATGTTTGTTTCTTGCTGAAGGCATTGAGGGGAAAGTACGTGTTTGGTCCAACCAAAAACATCGCACATCCTGTAGTCGATTTTGAATCGAATTCGCCCGCAAAGTCGGAATCGCTGAACAACCACAGTCTGCAATCCATTATGCTGTCGCCTATGAAACCGCTCATAGTGACATCAAGCGAAGAGTTTATGTAGCAAACCAACCTGTGAAGTCCCAAGTCGCAATCTGGACTCCACTTGGTCACCCTCGACGCTAAAGACTGTGTTGCCCTTAGAAGGTCCCATCTGGCCATGCGAGCAGCGAACAAAATCTTCATTAGTACCTTACTAGCAATAGGTTGCAAGCGCCCTGCCTTCTCTCCTTCGGAAGCTGTTGGCAAAGCCACACGTAGCTCATGGAAGGGGGTTGCAGCTGGTTTCAGGGTCTTACGCTCTACCTTAGCAAGCTCGCAGTACCGATCAACGCAAGAGTCGAGAAAGTCCTTCATATCGTACGTGATGCGAGCGACTGGCTTGGTCATTGCGCCGGGCTTCTCTTTAACGTCTTGCGACAATGTAACGAACTTGCTCTGCTTCGCCTCCTTTTTAGCCTCAGACTTGTTACGAACCGGCTTGCCCTTGCGGGCAGCTGCAACTGCCAGCTCGAAATCAGACTGTTCCCGGCCTGCGAGGTCGAAGTAGGTTTCGCCGTCCCACCAATCCTGAAGACAGCGATCGCGCATTTGATTGCAACTGTCAACAACAACTTCCTCCGACTCACCCTTGCGGGTGGCTTTAGCCACCACAGTGTATCTCCGAGGGCCGATCCCCGGAAACATTCTAGCATCATCCTCGTTGGGGACATAAAGTCTTTTGCGAGGATAACGGTGATGTCGGATTGCTATGAGATTCTCGGGGTCAATGTCCCAATAGTCTTCTTTTCTAGCAGGAGTTGCAGCTGATGATTCGGGCTCAAACACGTGACGAAAAGGGTGTGCTTCCTTGGGCAGCGTGAGGTTGTGTTCTTCCTTGTGCATGCACCCAAAGTATCTACCAATGGCTTCCGGAAGATCCATATCAATGACGCTCGAGATCAAGTCCCATCCCTCCTTGATAGAGTTCTTAGGGCCAGCGAGTTTAAAGTCATCGACGTATACCACTAAAAGCAGCTTCTTCTTCGGGTGGTAGAATACACTCTTCCAAATGTCAGTCAATACTGCCTCGAACCCGACTTTCTTCAACTCAGCTTCGCAATGATGTTCCCAAATCCCCCCTGAATCGGGGTGTCCGTAAAGTGCCAACTTGAGTGGAACAACAGGATCTTTCATGCCCTGCCATGCCTTAGGCCAGCGATTGCGAGGCAACCGTACCCAAGTGGCAACCCCTTGGAACAAAGCTTGGGTGTATGCTTGCTTGGCGTCGGCCTGCTGGATGATGTAGCCAGGTTGTGAGCCAAAGACGTCAAGAATCTTTCCTGCTTCCATAGATGCAGGACTGCTCGACATCTCCGCAAAGAGCGCGTGATCGGCGTTTTCATCAAGTACTTTATTTCCCTGAAATACCGAACGTCCCTTATACTTACGGTTGGGGTCGCCTTCTTTCAGCTCGGCTCCCTTTAGGGTACCAATCTCAAAAACATTGCCAAAGTGAACCTTGGTTTGAGATTTCTTAGCTTCGTTGGCAACCGACTCGAACTCCCTGACTTTGCCTTGTACCCAGCAGCCCTTGTCAACCAATTTCTGCCATTCTTTGTCCATGGCAGCCTGCGCCTTAGGGTTTGTTGCAATCTCCTTAGACGACAGGACCTTGGCGACAACAGCATACATCTCATCTGCGATCTGAAAAAGCTTCTTGTCATATAGCCCTTTGAGTCGTTCCCGATGTTCCTCGCTACACCCATGTAGGACTGGCATTGCAGGTACCGCCTTTACAGCTTCACGATACAGTGCCTCATTCTCCTCATGTAGCTTCTTCTCATGTTCTGCAATTGCTGTTGCTCTTTGTCTTTTCGACATAGCCTTCCATGCAGTATGATCAATAGCGTTAGGGCGGTTCTTGTTGTTCTTCTTGACCAAACATTCCCCACTCCACGTATAACCATACGGTGGTTCTTGCGCTGCTACTGCTGCGCTGGACTTCAGCTTCTGCTTCACAGAGAACGGAACATCATCAAGCAATGCTGCACGGGAATCAGACTTTGACTCACCCTTGCGGGTGGCTTCTTTCGCGTCCTTCGGCGGAGGATCTTTATCACGATCAGGACCAAATAGCTCTGGGAACATTTCATCCAGGTCTTCGCTAAGTTGTTCCTGAATTGTGGCTTCATCGTATCCCCCCCCTTCCTCCAGAGGAGGATGCGGGTTTTGCTCATCAAGGACATTGTGATGTTGTGCATCAAGGCTTGGTGGTTTATCCAAGGCAGGCTCTTGCAACAAAGGAAACTTAAAGTCACCATCTGGTAGCTCCAGTCTCTTAGTCCGAAACACACGTAGATCTTCATTTTCCAACGCGGCTTCGATGTTGTGTAGGGGAGCAACAACGTACTCGAGCTTGAAGATAAAACCAGGTTGGATGTGATACCCAAGGAATATACCTTCAATCCCTGTGCCAGCAAACTTGGATCGTTCAGGCTTGCGTTGCTTCTTCGGGGCCCAATAGAGAACTTTCGCTCCAAAGGGAATACGCATGCCATTGAACTTTTCACCATACCTGATTTCCCACGGAATCTGACCATTGTCAATCCTCGCAGTGATGTTAAGACACATAGCATGATGTTGCGATGCAAGAGGCCAATAGCGATCTGGAAGTCCTGATTGCACTAGATTGGCCCGTGTGCCTTCCAAAATTGTTCTGATTTCTCGCTCGATTACGGCCTTGTTTTCGTTCACATACTCTCTAGAAGTGTTGTGACGAGCGCGAAGCTGTCTGGCCGCAAAGTCAAACTCCAACGCATTGTCGGAATATATAACCTTTACCTCATCATCTGTACCAAGGAAGTGCAACATGTCTTCGTAGCACTGCTCACCAGACTTTGTCTTGGAAGGGTACACGTATCTAAACTTGGAATACACGTCCTTCACAACATGAGCCACGGTTTCATCTTGGAACCCGTAGTCCTTGGCATCAGCGGTCACGATGTGATCTACTGTGATGTGGTCACCGAACGATTTACTGTAGATTGTAGAGGATCCACCAGATTTACGCGCCTGGGGCGCATACATCTTGGCCCTTTGGCAAATGGGGCAGAACGGATTCTTTGGTCTATGGGTAAGTCGATGTTCCAAAGACACAGCCTCAACCCTCAAGGAAGCTTCATCCTTCTTAGACTTTGGCATTGTGTATGGCTCGACATCGCTGTCGGCTTGCGCCTCAACTTCCCCTTCAGGCAAAGCAAACAATGTGATAGTCGCAATAGTCCCTTCAGGTACTTCCCCATAGATTCCGTCCAATTCATCAATGTTGACTGAATCCTCCAACAAAGACCACACGTCATCCTTGAATCCCCAAGTAGTCCGGATTCTATACCTTGGGAACTTAGGAGCCGGTGTTCTAAACGTCTTTGGGAAATGTGCCACCTTAGCAGCGGGGCTGCCGTTGATGACAGTCCAACCTGCCTTTAGCAGTTGCTTCGTTTCCACCCCAGGAATGGGAGGAATGCAATTCGCCATCTTTTCGATGGGATCTTCTGCCGCGCCAGCTGGACCTTCAGGTTCATGTTCGTGCTCTCCCCTAGCTGGTGCGGCGTGCCCTTGCGGGCAGCTGTTTACCGAAAACCCGAACCAGACTTGACAGAGGTCGGTGCAACCTTGCTGCCATCAGATTCTGAGGACTTTGCTGCTAAGCATGCCATCAATGGTCCTCGGTCGCCAAATACGGGGACATTGCCTCGGAGTTGGCAAATCATCTTCTGACCGTCTGGGCAAATGAAATATGGCGCCTCACCCGCTGGCCAGTGGAAAGAGAACCCCTGTTCCATGCACTTCTTTCCTACAGAGCAAACTGCAGGTGTGTTGGGGAGCTCAACGAACTGCAATGGGTTCCTCAATGACTCAATGTAGACTTCATGCTTGGTATCAGCGTCTACTGGTCCGTTAGCAGTGATCAAACTCACTGGGTTGGAAGCAACCTTCTTAGCCTTGCCCTTGAAATGGGCCTCCAAATCAGAGTGACTAATCAGATCTTCCTCGCTACCGGTGTCTGCGATGATTTCGAGGTTCTCACCTGTCACCGCCGCTGCAGCAAGTTGGGGCAGGGGAATTGCTTCTTTGCAGTGAATGCAGAATCCTTCTCTACCCCGACACCTGTAGTTACACTTGACCCGAACCTTAAGCTTCATCCCGTTCACTGCTGATTCCAAGTGACGGGCATTCTGCAAAGCTTCTTCGGTGTCCTCTGGAATTGATGGTGGGCATAGCTCCGCAGACTTGTACCTGAATTCGAACTTGTGCTTGTCTGGTACGAAGCTCCAGCCTTCACCCTCAGGCGGGATGTCAATGATTTCTGGCCTTAGGAACTGGACTTTCCTGCTTCGGGGCTTTCCGGCAGGGCCCTTGCGGGCTGCTACTGCGTAGGCCTTCACAGCATCGGCCGGTGGCTCACCCGTGAGGGTGGCTGTGAGGGAAAGACAGCAAGCGGCTGGCTTGTCCTCACTCTTTGGCCTTTTCTTACTGGGTCGCCTGCGCTTGCCGGAGGGCGATCTCTTCCCGTCCTTGCCAGCCTTATCGCCTTTGGCCGGGACAGAGGGAGCGGCATCCTTGTGCATGAATGGGCAATTCTTACCGTTCTTGCAGGTGCCTTTGGGGTAAAAGATGCAAGGAATCTTGGAGGTATCCTTCTTCTCCCCACCTTTACCGCCTTTACCTCCACCTTTTCTCGAAGGGGTACGTGGAGGTGTTCTGCCCCTTGTCTGTTCAGGAGTAGGCTTCACATGCTTGTATGGGCACTTATCACCTCGTGGGCACTTCCCACGCTGGAAAGCGTAGCAGGGCTTGTCCTGGCTTCGGCCGCGAGGGGTGTTCGGGGTATCGGAAGGAGCAGGGGCACCAAATCTGGCGCCATGAGCTTTGGCGATTGCTGTGCGGTTTTTGCGAGTCCTATCTCTAGCCAACAGCTCTTTCACGCATTTGACCAAGTAGTCATAAGTGCGTTGCTCTGTTCCTTCCTTAGCCCTGTCGTAAACCTCCAGATCAAACTTGAGCTTGCTAGCATTGCGAAGCTGACGAAGTAGAATATCTCTCAGCGTAGTCTCCTCGGGTTGGTGATTCAACCCCGCGATGACCGACTCCCAGTTGTGAATGAAAGTGCTAAGGTCATCACCATTCAACTGCACCTTGAGTAGATCTTCTACAGAGTAGAGGGAGCCTGCTTCTTCGTTGGTCTTAAAGTAGTGTTCGAACATCAGTAGAACCTGTCTACCACGAACGGCCCTACCAGCAGCTGCCTCAGACTCCTTGTAGTTAATGATCTGTCGTCCAAGATCACCCCTAGCAACCCTCGAGAGCGCCGAAAGGATCTTCGTGTCCAAAGTGAGGAATTTACCCGTGTCCCTCAACTTCTCCGCATCGGCGTCCCTGGAGTAAACCTCTTGAACCCATTTGAATGCCTCATCGGGTCTGTCCGATGCTGCCCGAACGGCCTCCCTAACTGTGATCTTCCAGCTCCTATAAGTCTCCGGGTTAGGGAAGTCGGGTAGCTTCACCGTTTCAGCTTCCTTAGCCTTGGGTTTGTCGTCATCAGGCTTCTGGATAACCGACTTGAGTGCTTCAGCGAGAAGTACGCTAGGTTCTTTGTTTTCAGTAGATTCTGCCGGTTCTTTGTTATCACTCTGTTCAGCAGCAGATACCGCTACATTGTGGGCCTTGGTATCCTCAGGCTCTCCAATGTCATACCGTTGGGTCCTTCCCAAAACCGTCCGAAGCGACACAGGAATCTCCCTGGGGTTCGGAAGGGTCGGAATCCATGAATGGCTAGGACCCTGAACAAGCGGCGCTGCGGCACCACCTTGCGGTGGGCTTGGTTGAAGTTTGGAGCTCTCACTGGGATCGACTTTCACCGGCACGGCACCACCTTGCGGTGGGCTACTCTCCGCTGTCGACAAGACAGTCCTGAGTGAGTCGACCTCAGCTATAAGCTCCGCGTTCCTGTCCTGCAGGTCATCAACCAAGCTATCGTACTGCTGTGCCTCAGAGGTTAGCCTATGGTAGTACTCGTTTTCTTCCCATTGAAGCTTTTCCTCAAACTCAGACCCTAAAAAGGCAATCATCTCACTGTGGTTTTCTTCGATACTCGAGCGCAATTCCGCGAAACGGCGTTCATGCTGTCTGTTTTCCGCAGTGAGCGTGCGCGCTGCTGCTTCCAGCTCGGACCGATGTGCATCAAACTGCATGGCCATAGACCTTTCATCATGACTTTCCCCTTGTGCGCGTGCCAGCTGTGCCTGCAGCTCATTGGCTGATTGTCGTTCTGCTCGGGCGATTGTCTCTAGCACTCGTACTTCATTGTGTAGCTGTCCCACCAACAGGTGTGTGGATTGGCTCACAAATGCTAGCTGTTGACGATGATTCGCATCCGCTGTTGCCTCTAGGTGTGCAATGTATGCGTTGGCTTCGGCGTACACGTTGTCCAATGCAAATCGATGTCGTTGTTCCGCGCGAAGCTCCAAGGCACTTTGAATGCGGGGGTCATTCAGGAACAAGTTCACCTGAGTATTCTCCTGCAACAAATGCAAGAAGTACTGGTTCGCTTCCTGCTCCGTCCTACCACCAATACCACCGTCATCGTTGTTGCCCGCGGCCGTTACAAACGGCACGATGTCCATTACGGAGCTAACTACGGCTGATAACCTGAAGTTTCCCAGGCTACCAGCTTGGCACGTCTAGTTACCGGTCAGTCAACCCTTGTGACCTTTTTCCACGGGGGACTTGGGCCAAGTGCGGTCGCGTAAAGACATAGCTAAGGACCATAGGAATAGCAATGGAGGCAGGGTAAAATCTACACTGGCGCCCAGACCTCCGCGGCCGAAAATCGGCTCGGCAGGCGTTCGAGAGGTCGCAAACCCCGTGAGTTATGTGCAAGCAGGCGCGAGCGTTCCTCTCGAAAGCCTGCCCGCCGGGAAAATGTGAAAGTGAGACGATCTGTGCTGGAGTGCTCTGTACATGCTCTAACTTTGGAGCTCTCTATCCAAACACGCCGCGACGATTCACGCTGTACCAACCCTGACCCTCGGCAGTTGCAAACATGAACGGCAGGGTCGCAATGAAAATCCCCGATTACTACCGCGATGGTACCCAACCGAGGCAGGGGCCGTTCTGATGATCCGGATCTGGGCAGGAATGGGTCACATGTCGCATCAAAGCCGCAAGAAGAACATGCCTAAATCTCACGAGGAACCCTGTCGGATCGATTACTTAGCCCTCACTCATGTGAAGGATTGTGCAGGCCACCTCCTCATCCATGTACAAAATCTCAAACTTGCCGAAGGGTGCCGAAAGCCTGAGTCGCCGATTCTGCTTTCATCGTCGCAGAGTTCATTGCAAGCCCGTGTCAAGGGCGAGCTCTGCAGAGACCCGGGGCCCGGCGGACCGCGGAGGTTCACCTTGAATGCCTGGCACATGTCACCAGACCGATACCGATATCGCTGCGTGCACTCTAAGATGTCTGAATGAGATCCAGCTTAAGCACCAGCGATTTTTTTGCACTGCTCCGGTTTCGGGCGGCATCGCAGCCTCGCCTTACATGACCATCAATGCACAGACGGGAACGTACGTGGAAGAGCGCACCCTAACCATGTTCGAGGGTTTGGACATGCCAACCACACCATGCAAACTTCTTCTGTCCAGAGGTCTGGCTTCTTCCTCCGCCCTCCTTTGTCGCTCCTGCTTCTCTTCCCATGTCCTTAGGCACTTTGTGCACACCAATTGCGACCTCATACGAATACCCGCCCACTGTGCCAAGTGTCAGCCTGGGCTTCGACGGGCTCTCGGTCAAATGAGAGAGTGCAAACTGCATGGCGATCCTCCCATGCCGACGCGATACTCGAGCACATAAGAGCTATTGAGCCATCTCTGGGCATGCGTGCAGCCAGGAATCGCATATCGCGTCCCGGAAGTCAACTCCTCCACACCGTGGTACAAGCCGCTGCGGAAAACGACAACATCGCCCTTGAAAAGCTCCTGTCAGGTCTCACAGGCGAGAGGAGACTCGAAAGCACCCCAAAGCGGCTCCTGGCAGTGCCGGCGATCCACATTCCTCTTTCCGGGTTGAACGAAAAACCGTCCACCCTCGTAGTCCTCGCCTACGAGCAGCTCAGAAGACTGCATTGGCATCGGAACGGAGAACTGTAAGCAGCTCCGGCCTGGATCGCTCAGTGGACACATGACCTGGAACGGGAACATTACCGTGCCCTGAAGGTCGCGGTGTGGCTCCATGAAGCCGCCCGGGCAGTACCTCAGCACGTGCAGTTTCTCTACATCTACACAGCTCTCCTTCTGCTGCTGCACCGCCTGAGCGCGATCGAGGTGGGCAACCCCTGTGGGGGAGTTGCTGCCCTGCAAATTTCCCAGAGATCAGAGATCCTGAGCAACGTGGCCACTGCAGTGCAGAACGAGGATGCTGCTGCCACGATTTGCGTGCACAATCTGTTCGCAGGCACAAGGACTCATTGATCCGACAGGCTGCACACTGCATGCGGGTGCATTGTCCAAGGAGCTTTGGGGGATAGGCCTCCAAAGCAAGCGGCTTCGTAGAAGTCTCTGCTCTGAACATTTCAATCCTTGTTGCCACTCTCACGTTCCATTCAAAGCCAGCTGCTCCACATCTGCAACACTCTTCGCAGACAGGGATCTGTGCAGTCGCCACTGGGGCAAGTGCCGTGTACAAGGCCTCACGTAGGGCATTTAGCGGCGATGGCAGTGGCTCCCGCAGGTAGGCAAACTTTCCTCAACGTGAGGATGGGAAGCCGGGCGAGTGATAGGGCTCACAAAAATGACGAGGGGCCGTAGCCAAAGTTCATCGCCCTCCTTCGACGAGAGACAGCTCCCCCAAATCCAGTTCACATGACGACAGTTCCTACAACTGGCTCGGCCAGAAGTAACCAGATCACGCCTAGCTGGCTCTCTATCTCCGCTGCAGCCGAGTCGCAGGTCGACGATGCGCATCGCTGGCAGATCGTCGGGCTTCGCGGGTGTGCAATCGACAAGGCCGTCAGGCCACAAGCTGTCCAAATCGCCCTCCACCTCCGTCGAGAGGCAAGGTGTCTGCGCGCATAGAGTCACAGAGTAGAAAGCTTTCAGGTACTCAGGAAGGTCTGGGGCCCCCTTGACGCATTGAGCCAAGTGGCCATCTCACGCAGCCGCTCGATGGTGTCCTGAAGGATGGAATAGGTCCAGGCCGAGGCTCGCAAGCGTCTACGGCACAGCCAGGGCGCCGGATCGAGGAGCTTCTCCAGCACCAAGAAGCCCTGAAAAGAGGGAACGAGACGGGCACTGCCAAGCCTAGGCCGCTCATGCCCGGGCCTCGGAGTCCAGCGTCCGGCGCCCTTCTGCGATTCGCTTTTCCGCGTCGGAGCAGATCGCCTCTTCGAGCCTCAAAAAGATAAGACGGATAGGATTTCAAGCTGATGCCAAGGGGGGGAGGGGGGGCACCTCTTCGTCGCA